TGCTTCTTTACCAGCACCGCCGCCACTGCCAACACCGCCGGAGGGGGGCGGCAGCGAGAGAGAGGAGGCTTCTCGGTGGGGGAGGTGGGGGGAGGTGGCGGTGTTGGTGGTGGTGATGGTGGCGGGTGGCGGCGGTGGTGTTGGCGGTGGTGGTTGTGGTGTTGGCGGGTGGCGGTGGTGGCGGTGGTGGTGGTGTTGTTTGGCGGTGGGGTGTTGTTGGCGGTGGTGGCGGTGGTGGCGGCAGTGGCGGTGCTGGTGTTGGGCGGTGGTGGTTGTGGTGTTGGCGGTGGTGTTGGTGGGTTGTGGTGTTGCCGTTGGTGGCGGTGATTGCCAGCAACCTGACAAGTGGCGGTGGCGTGGTGTGGGCGGCTGGGAAGCTGCGCTCAATATTCACGCTGCTCGTTGAGTGTGAGGAGGACGACCATGTGAGACCACGAGTGGGGCGGCACGGGGGGACAAGGATATGTGTCTGTGTGTGTGTAGGTCGACTCAGCCTCAAATGTGTAAACATCGCTGCTAGGGCGACAAAGGGCGTGATGTTGGCCACCGACCCCCTCGTGTGCCGTGCCGGCCTTTACAGGTGCTACTCGCTCACAGCACTTGCTCCTACAGTCTGTTAAGGCTACACGGGGGATTTTTGTCTGTGAGGCAGTCGCCCTCCAACAACAACGGAGGGCGGAGGAGCGACGCTCACAACAACGAGCGGAGCGCCGGGTGGCTAAAGCACAGCAAGTTGGCACAGTAGGGGGCACAGGTGGTGCATCAGCCAGTCATCTCGGTCATCTCAGTTGACCCGTGGCACCTGGGTTTGCCCCTTGACCTCCTGCCAGTGGGCGTTTGACACTTCACGTGGCCTCAAGGTGCACATGGTCTGGCGAATGGCGGTTGTTTGTGCATCTCCTCACCTCCCCGTGCCCCTACAGGTGCTTGCGTCTGCATGCGAGATGTTGCAAGTCCTCAGCTCCAGCCATGCTGGTGCATTGGCATTTAGCAACAATGGAAGCCTCGCGGCCTTAGCCAGCCTGCTGGGACGCACTCACAACCCTCAAGCCCTGGAGAAGATCACCAGTAGCAACCCACCCACACTCACCACCCACACTCACCACCACCCACACTCACCACCCACACTCACCACCCACACTCACCACCACCCACACTCACCATCCACACTCACCACCACCCACACTCACTACCCACACTCACCACCACCCACACTCACCACCCACACTCACCACCCACACTCACCACCCACACTCACCATCCACACCACCCACACTCACCACCCACACTCACCACCCACGCTCACCCCACGCTCACCACCCACGCTCACCACCCACGCTCACCACCCACGCTCACCACCCACGCTCACCACCCACGCTCACCACCCACGCTCACCAGCCACGCTCACCACCCACGCTCACCAGCCACGCTCACCAGCCACGCTCACCACCCACGCTCACCAGCCACGCTCACCACCCACGCTCACCACCCCACCACCCACGCTCACCAGCCACGCTCACCACCCACGCTCACCAGCCACGCTCACCACCCACGCTCACCACCCACACTCACCACCCACGCTCACCAGCCACGCTCACCACCCACGCTCACCACCCACCCTCGCCACCCACACTCACCACCCACGCTCACCACCCACGCTCACCACCCACGCTCACCACCCACACTCGCCACCCACCCTCGCCACCCACACTCACCACCCACGCTCACCACCCACCCTCGCCACCCACACTCACCACCCACACTCACCACCCACACTCACCACCACCCACACTCACCACCCACGCTCACCACCCACGCTCACCACCCACGCTCACCACCCACGCTCACCATCCACGTTCACCACCCACCCTCGCCACCCACACTCACCACCCACACTCACCACCCACGCTCACCACCCACGCTCACCATCCACACTCACCACCCACACTCACCACCCACACTCACCACCCACACTCACCACCCACACTCACCACCCACGCTCACCACCCACCCTCGCCACCCCTACCCCAGGCACGCTGTGGAACCTGTCGTGCCACGAGTCTCTGAGGGCTGCGCTGGTGGAGCTTTGCCTCCCGGCGCTGGTGGAGCACGTGCTGGTGCCAGAGAGCGGCTGGAGGAGCAACTTTGGAGACTCGCCCGCCTCAACCTCCCCCACCCGGCTCGTCCGCCTCGCCTTCCGCGGCGTTCTGCAACGCCTTGACGTGCCTACGGTAAGGGGCGGTGATTTCGTGGTGGACGCGACGGGGAACGCCGCGGTTGACGCGACGTCACGCGGTGGACGCGACGGGGAACGTCGGGGGTTCACGTCACGGCGGTGACATTGCAGGGAGTTGAGCTCGGCAGATCCGGACGGACGGCTGAGCACGTGGAAGGGCGAGGGGCTGGTGGACTGCGTGCTGCGCTTCGTCCGCTCGGCACTGAGAGGACGCAACATCGAGACCAAGGTGACCCCCACAGCGCGATGGGTAGCGGTGGTGTAGCGGTTAGCGCTACGCTGCTCTATGAACCCGGCGGCGGGTCCAAGTGTGTCGAGTCCAACTCGGTCGCAGACGTTGTCTTGGGAGCAACACTCTTCAGCGACACAACACAAGCTACACTTGGGTGTTGACCGCGTGACTAGAGGCTTCTTCAACCCGATGCGGATCTTCATCGCCAGCAACACGAAGAACCCCGAGCCCCTCACTCTTTGGTCTGCATCAGCAGCAGGCCACGCTTTCCCGCCCGTTGACAGACACTTGCGTGGCGTCCGAAACGTCGTGATTTAATTTAGTTTTAATTTTATTTTATTTTTCACCTACGTGACTTTACCGAAAACACCAAAGAGTATGAATCATCGCAGTCGCGAAAACTTCAGATCTACAACCCCTCGCCCCGCCCACCTTCTAGATCTCTCCGGCTCTTTCCCGAAGGCTCCCGAGGGCTCTTGTAGACCATGTGACCGCCCAGCGGCCCCCCGTCCACTGGTGGCCCCCTCCAATATCATCCGGTGACGTGTCGGCAGGTCAACCGGCGCATCGTGCCCCAACGTAACCCTGGCTGGCTGACGCTCCCTCTCGCTCCCTCGCCGGGAGCCCGCACCGCACGCCGTACGTGGTGCCTCCACGCTGACCAGCGCTCACCCAGGCCCCGCTAGGGCTGGCGGTACTACGCCCAGTGAGCGGGCTGCACGTAATGCCAACACATCATCCGCCGTGGCTTCGTAAGCCCGGCACCACACAGTGACAATCGCAGTCACTACACAAGCAAGAACATCTGCTGGACTACATAGTGACGGATCAGCGGATGCGGGCCCATGTCCTTGACACCAGGATCTACCGTGGAGCTGATCTGCCCTCTGACCATCGACTTGTCATCTGCAAGATGCGCCTGCCATTCTTCCACTCCGGTGGTGGGTGTACACCCAGGACCCCATTCCAACCTAAGGTGGCCTGGTCTCAGCTGATGAAAGTTGCAAGCGAGAATTTCATCATCGCTTGCGGCTGGGGTTGGCATTGTCCCCCACTCCTCATGTCGAGGGTAAATGGGCGAGGTTTAGGACTGTGGCTCATGCAGCTGCAATGGCTGCTTTGGGTACACGGTCCAGACCTCCCCAGAGACCCTGGCTGACAGAGGAGGTGTTTAGGCTGGCTGAAAAAAGGCGACAGGCCCACTCTCATCGGCTTCAGTATCCCACATCAGAGAATGAGGCGGTTTACCGCAGCCTTCGCTCGGAGGTTCGGAGAGCCGTGAGGCGCTGCAAGGATGGTTGGTGGCGTCAGGTTCCTGAAGAGATGAAGTCTGCCTCAATGGCCCGCGATCACAAATCGCTGTTTAATTCCATCAAAAAAGTGACCTGCAGCACCACACCTATTACCATCATTAAGGGAAAGAACGGTGATCCAATCTCCGACCCCTAGGAACAGGTTTGCAGATTTGCTGAGCATTTCTGTGAGGTCCTGGGAGAGGGGAACTCCCCCAGCCTGCAAAACATTGTGGGACAAAGAGAGGATAGCCCTGCTGAGGCTGCGGTGCCTCATTGTTTGAAGAGGAAGTCACCCCCTGTAAGTGGCTGGCTGAGCTGCCATCTAAGGAAGTACTCAAAGCGATCCAGAGCCTGAGACCAGGAAAGGCACCGGGCAGAGATGATCTCTCAAGAGAAATGCTGAGGGAGGGTGGCGTTTGTGCACAGACTGCCCTATATGACATCATAACAACAGTCTGGACTACTGGACGGTTCCGCAGGATTGGAAGGATGCCCTGGTAGTCCCCCTCTTGAAGAAGGGCGACCCTGCACAGACTAACAACTACAGGGGCATCTCACTCCTCAGTGTGCCGGGAAAGGTCCTGGCAAGGATTATTCAACATCGCCTTGCTAGACACGCTGAGGAGAGGCTTGCGGAGCCCCAATGCAGTTTCAGGAAAGGACGGTCCTGCACAGATGCCATATTTTCTGTCCGTCTGCTACAGCAGAGGTGTAGGAAATTCCAACAAGACCTACATCTCTGCTTTATTGACCTGGTCAAGGCCTATGATATCATCAGTAGGCCTGGGCTCTGGGTTGTTCTTCGTGCTTTCGGAGTCCCTGACCCTTTGCTCACGATCATTAAGGACCTTCATGATGGTGAGCGGGCCCGGGTAAAACTACGTGGCCGGGGTGTGGACAGGGATGTCCTCTGGCTCCCGCATTATTTAACATCTATTTCGGCCGCGTAGTTTGTGAAGCCTTCAATAGCTGTACTGGTGATGATGATGGTGATGATGGTGATGATGATGGTGATATGCGTGTGTGTATATCTGCGTGTGTGTGTATACCTGCGTGTGTGTGTGCATGTATGTATGCGTGCGTGTGTGTATGTATGTGCGTGTGTCTGCGTGTGTGTGTGCGTGTATGTATGCGTGCGTGTGTGTGTATGTATCTGCGTGTGTGTATGTGTGTGTGTATGTATGTGCATGTGTGTGTGTGCGTGTGTATGTATGTATGCGTGTGTGTGTATGTATGTGTGCGTGTGTGTATGTGTGTGTGTGTATGTACATGTGTGGGTATGTGTGTGTGTATGTGTGTATGTATGTATATATGTGTGTGTGTATGTGTGTGTGTGTATGTTCGTGTATGTGCGTGCGTGTATGTGCGTGTGCGTGTGTATGTATGTGTGTGTATGTATGTGCGTGCGTGTATGTGCGTGTGTGTGTCTGCCTGGAGAGCGGTAGTGTAGCGGTTAGCGCGCTGCGCTATGAATCCGGCGACCCGGGTTCGATTCCTGCTCACGGCCAACACCAGTGACGATTATCTGAACCGGTCCCGGGCCTCCCCTAGGTCGACTCAGCCTCAAATGAGTACCTGGTGCGGTGTGTAAACATCACCACTGGGGAGACAAAGGCGGTCGGACGTGGTGCCACCCCCTCTTGCGCAACTAACAACACTCGCCCCTACGACCCGTCACGGCTACGCAGGGGAGCTTTGGTTGCGTCTGCCTCCGTATCCGCAGGCGGTGGAGGATGCAGTCTGTGTCCTGCACCAGCTGAGCGTCCACATGCTGCACAACGTGCCGCACTGCGGAGACTCAAGGCTGGGGGGGGGCAGCTGGGGGGGAGCTGCCAGCCACAGCTCCACCCTGAAGACAGGTGGACACTGTGACCCCCTCACTCCCCCCCTCACTCCCTCCCCCCTCACTCGCTCCCTCTCACTCCCTCCCCTCACTCCCTCCCCCCTCACTCCATCCCCCTCACTCCACCCCCTCACTCCATCCCCCTCACTCCATCCCCTCACTCCATCCCCCTCACTCCATCCCCCTCACTCCACCCCCCTCACTCCCTCCCCTCACTCCCATCCCCCTCACTCCATCCCCCTCACTCCCCCCCTCATTCCTCCCCCCCTCACTACCCCTCCCTCCCCCCCTTCCCTGTGTGTATAGTGTAGTGTACAGTGTAGTGTATGGTATAGTGTATAGTGTAGTGTATAGTGTAGTGTATGTATAGTGTAGTGTATAGTGTAGTGTACAGTGTAGTGTATAGTGTAGTGTGTGATAGTGTAGTGTATAGTGCAGTGTGTGATAGTGTAGTGTATAGTGTAGTGTAGTGTATAATGTAGTGTATAGTGCAGTGTGTGATAGTGTAGTGTACGATGTGCGTGTGTATGTGTAGACACCGTGTGTGTGTGTAGACACACCGTGTGTGTGTGTAGACACACCGTGTGTGTGTGTAGACACACCGTGTGTGTGGACACACCGTGTGTGTGGACACACCGTGTGTGTGGACACACCGTGTGTGTAGACACACCGTGTGTGTGTGTAGACACACCGTGTGTGTGTGTAGACACACCGTGTGTGTGTAGACACACCGTGTGTGTGTGTAGACACACCGTGTGTGTGTGTAGACACACCGTGTGTGTGTGTAGACACACCGTGTGTGTGTGTAGACACACCGTGTGTGTGTGTAGACACACCGTGTGTGTGTGTAGACACACCGTGTGTGTGTGTAGACACACCGTGTGTGTGTGTAGACACACCGTGTGTGTGTGTAGACACACCGTGTGTGTGTGTAGACACACCGTGTGTGTGTGTAGACACACCGTGTGTGTGTGTAGACACGTGTGTGTGTGTAGACACACGTGTGTGTGTAGACACACCGTGTGTGTGTGTAGACACACCGTGTGTGTGTAGACACCGTGTGTGTGTAGACACCCGTGTGTGTGTAGACACCCGTGTGTGTGTGTAGACACCCGTGTGTGTGTGTAGACACCGTGTGTGTGTGTAGACACCGTGTGTGTGTAGACACACCGTGTGTGTGTAGACACACCGTGTGTGTGTAGACACCCGTGTGTGTGTGTAGACACACCGTGTGTGTGTGTAGACACCCGTGTGTGTGTGTGTAGACACCGTGTGTGTGTGTGTAGACACACCGTGTGTGTGTAGACACACCGTGTGTGTGTAGACACCGTGTGTGTGTAGACACACCGTGTGTGTAGACACACCGTGTGTGTGTGTCTACACACACCGTGTGTGTAGACAGACACCGTGTGTGTGTGTACACCGTGTGTGTGTGTAGACACACCGTGTGTGTGTGTAGACACCGTGTGTGTGTAGACACACCGTGTGTGTGTAGACACACCGTGTGTGTGTAGACACACCGTGTGTGGTAGACACACCGTGTGGGTGTGTAGACACACCGTGTGTGTGTGTAGACACACCGTGTGTGTGTAGACCACCGTGTGTGTGTAGACACACCGTGTGTGGTGTGTAGACACCCGTGTGTGTGTAGACACACCGTTGTGTGTAGACACACCGTGTGTGTGTGTAGACACACCGTGTGTGTGTAGACACACCGTGTGTGTGTGTAACACACCGTGTGTGTGTGTAGACACACCGGGTGTGTGTGTAGACACACCCGTGTGGTGTGTAGACACACCGTGTGTGTGTGTAGACACACCGTGTGTGTGTAGACACACCGTGTGTGTGTAGACACACCGTGTGGTGTGTAGACACACCGTGTGTGTGTGTGTAGACACACCGTTGTGTGGTGTGTAGACACCGTGTGTGTGTAGACACACCGTGTGTGTGTGTGAGACACACCGTGTGTGTGGTGTGTAGACACACCGTGTTGTGTGTGTAGACACACCGTGTGTTGTGTGTAGACACACCGTGTGTGTGTGTAGACCACCGTGTGTGTGGTGTAGACACACCGTGTGTGTGTGTGTAGACACACCGTGGTGTGGTGTGTAGACACACCGTGTGTGTGTGTAGACACCCGTGTGTGTGTGTAGACACACCGTGTGTGTGTGTAGACACACCGTGTGTGTGTGTAGACACCCGTGTGTGTGTGTAGACACCCGTGTGTGTGTGTAGACACACCGTGTGTGTGTGTAGACACACCGTGTGTGTGTGTGTAGACACCCGTGTGTGTGTGTGTAGACACCGTGTGTGTGTGTAGACACACCGTGTGTGTGTAGACACACCGTGTGTGTGTGTGTGTAGACACACCGTGTTCCTGTCCGCCTTGCTCCGCGCCGTAACGAGGCCTACGCCTGCAGGCTGGGAGCTGCTGTACCAGGCCGACACAGTCAGCTGCTACGTGTCGCTGCTGCAGCAGTCGCACAACGTGCTCGTGCTGCAAGCGGCAACACGCTCCATCTACACGCTGGCCAGCGGAGACACCCAGGTGACGCTCCCTAGCAACGCTCCCTAGCAACGCTCCCCAGCACCGCTCCCTAGCAACGCTCCCTAGCAACGCTCGCTAGCAACGCTCCCTAGCAACGCTCTATAGCAACGCTTCCTAGCAACGCTCCCTAGCAACGCTCCCTAGCAACGCCCACTGTTTGACTGTCTGCGTGGTGATGGTGTTGCGTTGCCGTGCGCCGTCGTGAGCAGTGGTCGGCGTTGTCCCGCACGGCCGTGGCTCACAACGGGGGGCTGCCCTGCCTCCTGGAGCAGCTGCGGAGCGGGAGGAGCAGGAGGAGCGGCGACGACGAGCGCCGTCTGCTGGCGTACACCTCGGTGCACGCGCTGCGGGTCCTCGCTCGCAATGACCCCAACAACCAGCGCCTCATCGGTGAGATGCGGGGGGGTAGGAGGGAGGGAGGTGGTGATGGTGGTGGTGGTGGTGATGGTGGTGGTGATGGTGGTGGTGGTGATAGTGGTGGTGGTGATGGTGGTGATGGTGGTGATGGTGGTGGTGGTGATGGTGGTGGTGATGGTGGTGGTGGTGATGGGGTGATGGTGGGGATGGTGATAGTGGTGATGGTGGTGGTGATAGTGGTGATGGTGGTGGTGATAGTGGTGATAGTGGTGATAGTGGTGATAAAGTGATGAAGGTGGCGATGGAGGTGGCGATGGAGGTGGCGATGAAGTGGCGATGAGTGGCGATGGAAGTGGCGATGGAGGTGGCGATGGAGGTGGCGATGGACGGTGGAGAGGAGGTGCGATGGAGGTGGCGATGGAGTGGTGATGGAGGTGGCGATGAAGTGGCGATGAAGTGGCGATGGAGGTGGCGATGAAGTCGTGATGGAGGTGGCGATGAAGTGGCGATGAAGTGCGATGGAGTGGCGATGGAGGTGGCGATGGAGGTGGCGATGGAGGTGGCGATGGAGGTGGCGATGGAGGTGTGGAGAGTGGCGATGAGTGGCGATGAAGTCTAGTGCGATGGAGGGGCGATGAAGTCGTGATGGAGGTGGCGATGAAGTGGCGAAGTGAAGTGGCGATGGGTGGAGGAGTGGCGATGAGTGGCTGGAGGTGGCGATGGAGGTGGCGATGGAGTGGCGATGGAGGTGGCGATGAAGTGGCGATGAGTGGCGATGGAGGTGGCGATGAAGTCGTGGAGGTGGCGATGGAGGTGGCGATGAAGTGGCGATGGAGGTGGCGATGAAGTGGCGATAAGTGGCGATGAGTGGCGATGAAGTGGCGATGGAGGTGGCGATGAAGTGGCGATGAAGTGGCGATGAAGTGGCGATGGAGGTGGCGATGAAGTGGCGATGGAGGTGGCGATGGAGGTGGCGATGGAGGTGGCGATGAAGTGGCGATGAGGTGGCGATGGAGGTGGCGATGAAGTGGCGATGGAGGTGGCGATGGAGGTGGCGATGGAGGTGGCGATGGAGGTGGCGATGGAGGTGGCGATGAAGTGGCGATGGAGGTGGCGATGAAGTGGCGATGGAGGTGGCGATGGAGGTGGCGATGGAGGTGGCGATGAAGTCGCGATGAAGTGGCGATGGAGGTGGCGATGAAGTGGTGATGGAGGTGGCGATGGAGGTGGCGATGAAGTGGCGATGGAGGTGGCGATGAAGTGGCGATGGAGGTGGCGATGGAGGTGGCGATGGAGGTGGCGATGAAGGTGGCGATGGAGGTGGCGATGAAGTGGCGATGGAGGTGGCGATGGAGGTGGCGATGGAGGTGGCGATGAAGTGGCGATGGAGGTGGCGATGAGGTGGCGATGGAGGTGGCGATGGAGGTGGCGATGAAGTGGCGATGGAGGTGGCGATGAAGTGGCGATGGAGTGGCGATGGAGGTGGCGATGAAGTGGCGATGGAGGTGGCGATGGAGGTGGCGATGGAGGTGGCGATGGAGGTGGCGATGAAGTGGCGATGGAGGTGGCGATGGAAGTGGCGATGGAGGTGGCGATGAAGTGGCGATGGAGGTGGCGATGGAGGTGGCGATGGAGGTGGCGATGAAGTGGCGATGGAGGTGGCGATGGAGGTGGCGATGAAGTGGCGATGGAGGTGGCGATGGAGGTGGCGATGAAGTGGCGATGGAGGTGGCGATGGAGGTGGCGATGAAGTGGCGATGAAGTGGCGATGGAGGTGGCGATGGAGTGGCGATGAGTGCGATGAGGTGGCGATGAAGTGGCGATGAAGTGGCGATGGAGGTGGCGATGGAGGTGGCGATGGAGTGGCGATGGAGGTGGCGATGAGGTGGCGATGAAGTGGCGATGGAGGTGGCGATGAAGTGGCGATGGAGGTGGCGATGGAGGTGGCGATGGAGGTGGCGATGAAGTGGCGATGAAGTGGCGATGGAGGTGGCGATGAAGTGGCGATGGAGGTGGCGATGGAGGTGGCGATGAAGTGGCGATGGAGGTGGCGATGAAGTGGCGATGGAGGTGGCGATGGAGGTGGCGATGGAGGTGGCGATGAAGGTGGCGATGGAGGTGGCGATGAGGCGATGGAGGTGGCGATGGAGGTGGCGATGGAGGTGGCGATGGAGGTGGCGATGAAGTGGCGATGGAGGTGGCGATGAAGTGGCGATGAAGTGGCGATGGAGGTGGCGATGAAGTGGCGATGGAGTGGCGATGAAGTGGCGATGGAGGTGGCGATGAGGTGGCGATGAAGTGGCGATGGAGGTGGCGATGGAGTGGCGATGGAGGTGGCGATGAAGTGGCGATGGAGGTGGCGATGGAGGTGGCGATGGAGGTGGCGATGGTGGCGATGGAGGTGGCGATGAAGTGGCGATGGAGGTGGCGATGGAGGTGGCGATGAAGTGGCGATGAAGTGGCGATGAAGTGGCGATGGAGGTGGCGATGGAGGTGGCGATGAAGTGGCGATGGAGTGGCGATGGAGGTGGCGATGAAGTGGCGATGAAGTGGCGATGGAGGTGGCGATGGATGGTGGCGATGGAGGTGGCGATGAGTGGCGATGGAGGTGGCGATGGAGGTGGCGATGAAGTGGCGATGGAGGTGGCGATGGAGGTGGCGATGAAGTGGCGATGAAGTGGCGATGGAGGTGGCGATGGAGGTGGCGATGAAGTGGCGATGGAGGTGGCGATGGAGGTGGCGATGAAGTGGCGATGAAGTGGCGATGGAGGTGGCGATGAAGTGGCGATGGAGGTGGCGATGAAGTGGCGATGGAGGTGGCGATGGAGGTGGCGATGAAGTGGCGATGAGTGGCGATGGAGGTGGCGATGAGGTGGCGATGGAGGTGGCGATGAGTGGCGATGGAGGTGGCGATGAGTGGCGATGGAGGTGGCGATGAAGTGGCGATGGAGGTGGCGATGAGAAGTGGCGATGGAGGTGGCGATGAAGTGGCGATGGAGGTGGCGATGAGGTGGCGATGGAGGTGGCGATGAGTGGCGATGAGTGGCGATGGAGGTGGCGATGGAGGTGGCGATGAAGTGGCGATGGAGGTGGCGATGGAGGTGGCGATGAAGTGGCGATGAGTGGCGATGAAGTGGCGATGGAGGTGGCGATGGAGGTGGCGATGAAGTGGCGATGGAGGTGGCGATGAAGTGGCGATGAAGATGGCCTGGAGTGGCGATGAAGGTGGGCGATGGAGGTGGCGATGAAGTGGCGATGAAGTGGGAGTGGAGGTGGCGATGGAGGTGGTCGAGGAGGTTGCGATGAGTGGCGATGGAGGGTGGCGATTGAGGTGGCGATGGAGTGGTGGCGATGAAGTGGCGATGGAGGTGGCGATGAAGTGGCGATGAAGTGGCGATGGAGTGGGCCGATGGAGGTGGCGATGGAGTGGTGGCGATGAAGTGGCGATGGAGGGTGGCGATGAAGTGGCGATGAAGTGGCGATGAAGTGGCGATGGAGGTGGCGATGGAGGTGGCGATGAAGTGGCGATGAAGTGGCAGGAGGTGGCGATTGAGGTGGCGATGGAAGGTGGCGATTGAAGTGGCGATGGAGGTGGCGAATGAAGTGGCGCTTGGAGGTGGCGATTGGAGGTGGTGATGGAGGTGGCGATGGAGGTGGCGATGAAGTGGCGATGGAGGGTGGCGATGGACGGTGGCGATGGAGGTGGCGATGGAGGTGGCGATGAAGTGGCGATGGAGGTGGCGATGGAGGTGGCGATGGAGGGTGGCGATTGAAGTGGTGATGGAGGTGGCGATGGAGGTGGCGATGGAGGTGGCGATGAAGTGGTGATGGAGGTGGCGATGGATGGGTGGCGATGGAGGTGGCGATGAAGTGGCGATGAAGTGGCGATGGAGGTGGCGATGAAGTGGCGATGGAAGGTGGCGATGGAGGTGCGATGGAGGTGGCGATGAAGTGGCGATGGAGGGTGGCGATGGAGGTGGCGATGAAGTGGCGATGAAGTGGCGATGGAGTGGCGATGGAGGTGGCGATGGAGGTGGCGATGAAGTGGCGATTGAAGGTGGCGATGGAGGAGGCGATGGAGGTGGCGATGAAGTGGCGATGAAGTGGCGATGGAGGGTGGCGATGGATGGTGGCGATGGAGTGGCGATGAAGTGGCGATGGATGGGTGGCGTGATGGAGTGTGGTGGCGATGAAGTGGCGATGGAGGTGGCGATGAAGTGGCGATGGTAGGTGGCGATGGAGGTGGCGATGGAGGTGGCGATGGAGGTGGCGATGAAGTGGCGATGGAGGTGGCGATGGGGTGGCGATGGAGGTGGCGATGAAGTGGCGATGAAGTGGCGATGGAGGTGGCTATGGAGGTGGCGATGAAGTGGCGATGGAGGTGGCGATGAAGTGGCGATGGAGGTGGCGATGGAGGTGGCGATGGAGGTGGCGATGGAGGTGGCGATGAAGTGGCGATGGAGGTGGCGATGGAGGTGGCGATGGAGGTGGCGATGAAGTGGCGATGGAGGTGGCGATGGAGGTGGCGATGAAGTGGCGATGAAGTGGCGATGGAGGTGGCGATGAAGTGGCGATGAAGTGGCGATGGAGGTGGCTATGGAGGTGGCGATGAAGTGGCGATGGAGGTGGCGATGAAGTGGCGATGGAGGTGGCGATGGAGGTGGCGATGGAGGTGGCGATGGAGGTGGCGATGAAGTGGCGATGAAGTGGCGATGGAGGTGGCGATGGAGGTGGCGATGGAGGTGGCGTAAGTGGCGATGGAGGTGGCGATGGAGGTGGTGATGAAGTGGCGATGGAGGAGTGGCGATGGAGGTGGCGATGGAGGTGGCGATGGAGGTGGCGATGGAGGTGGCGATGGAGGTGGCGATGGAGGTGGCGATGGAGGGTGGCGATGGAGGTGGCGATGGAGGTGGCGATGAAGTGGCGATGAAGTGGCGATGGAGGTGGCGATGGAGGTGGCGATGAAGTGGCGATGGAGGTGGCGATGGAGGTGGCGATGAAGTGGCGATGGAGGTGGCGATGCAGGTGGCGATGGAGGTGGCGATGCAGGTGGCGATGGAGGTGGCGATGAAGTGGCGATGGAGGTGGCGATGGAGGGGGCGATGAAGTGGCGATGGAGGTGGCGATGGAGGTGGCGATGGAGGTGGCGATGAAGTGGCGATGGAGGTGGCGATGGAGGGTGGCGATGAAGTGGCGATGAAGTGGCGATGGAGGTGGCGATGGAGGTGGCGATGAAGTGGCGATGAAGTGGCGATGGAGGTGGCGATGGAGGTGGCGATGGAGGTGGCGATGAAGTGGCCATGAAGTGGCGATGGAGGTGGCAATGGAGGTGGCGATGAAGTGGCGATGAAGTGGCGATGGAGGTGGCGATGGAGGTGGCGATGAAGTGGCGATGAAGTGGCGATGAAGGTGGCGATGGAGTGGCGATGGAGGTGGCGATGGAGGTGGCGATGGGAGTGGCGATGGAGTCCGCTCACCACCGTCTCTGCGCGCTCCCCAGGGCTGCACAATGGCGTGAGGATCCTCACCGCGATGCTGCCTGACGCTGCCGAGGCAGGCGGCGGTGGCGGCGGTGGCGATGGTGGCGATGGTGGCGAGGCCTCGTGGCTGGGCGAGGAGGGGCTGTCGGCAGTGCTCTGGGCGCTGACGGCGCTGGTCTCTGGCAGCGTCGCCAACGCTCAGCGGCTGCATCGCGGCGGTGGCATCAGGCGCATCGTGGCCATCCGCACCAGCCGGTGAGCGGGGCGGGGGTGGGGGAACGATCCACGGTCAACCACGCACACTCACCACCCACGCTCACCAGCCACACTCACCAGCCACACTCACCACGCACACTCACCACGCTCACCACCCACCCTCACTATCCACACACTCCAAGCTCACCACTCACGCTCACCACCCACACTCACCACCAACCCTCACCACCCACACTCACCACCCACCCTCACTATCCACACTCACCACCCACCCTCACTATCCACACTCACCACACACACTCACCAGGCACACTCACCACCCACACTCACCACGCTCGCCACTCTCACCACCCACACTCACCACGCACACTCACCACGCACACAAAGATCTTTGTCTTTGTGTCTGTGTGTATCTGTGTGTGTCTAGGTCGACTCAGCCTCCCACCCCCTCGTGTGCCGTTCCGGCCTTCACAGGTGCTCGCTAACAGCACTCGCCCCTAAAGTCTGTTACAGGCTACACGGGGGATCTTTGTCTTTGTGCGTGTGTTGGTGCTGTGTCAGGACGGCGTGCAGCCAGGACCTCTTTGCAGCGAGGGCTTTGCTCACCGTTCTCTGGGCTCACCACGACCTCCGCGCCAGCTACAAGAAGTGTGGCGGCTGGGACAAGGAGCACTTCTTGTCACCGAGATGCCACGAGCAGCAGCAGCGGCGCCGGCAGCAGCAGCAGCACGTGCACTCGCTGTGGCACCAGTGGCAGCTGTGCCAGCAGTGGCAGCTGTGGCAGCAGTGGCGCCAGTCGCAGCTGTAGTAGCAGAAGCAGCAGTAGCAGAAGCAGTAGTAGTAGTAGGGGTAGTGGCGGTAGTAGCAGTCCGCTCGGCGGACGCTGGCGTTCTCCTCTTGAATCTTGACTTGAAGCTTTCGTGCCTTGCAGGGATTTATGGGTCTGTCGGTCAGGTGGCGTGGGTAGGTTCAAGAAAATAACAAAAAACTACGACGTTTCGATGGCAACACAAGCGGTCGTCATCAGTGTTGCGATGGAAACGTCGCGTGTTTTTGTTATTTGCTTTGAACCTACACACGTGATGTTACCGACAGACCCCAAAGAATATGCTCTTCTTAACTTCGCTTGTTGATGTTGATGAAGATGTCGATGGTGCTGTTGTTGATTTTGTCGTTGATGTTTATGATGTTGTTATTGATTTTGATGATGTTGTTGAGGATGTTGATTTTGTTGTTAAAGATGTTGATGTCGTTCGACCGGTGGCTATGGGAACAATTACCCTAGGGGAGGCTAATTGACCCAACCCAGCCAAGGTGCGGGTCTGGACTCTGGCTTCCTCGGAACTCGCCCTCACAAGGACGTAGAGCCGGGAGTCCCAGAGTCCCACCACTGGCCCTCACAGCGTCCCGGCCCTTACAAGGACAAGCGGGACGAGGGGGTCCAGGGTCCTAAGCTGGCTGGCTGGCGGGTCTTGACCTGCGACTGGCCCTGATCGGCCAGGGAGCTGCCCTTTTATGCCTCGTGCCCAACGAGGGTTGGGGTTGTGTGCGCCCCCAGGTATCCCACAGAGCACACACAGCCCCCCTGTTGGTGGCACCAAGGGGCTTAAGCATCTGGGGTGCCTGGGATCCTAGCGCCTGGCGCCAAGGGGCTTCTCTGCCTAGGGTCCCAGAGCCCCCAGCAGCCCCTCCCCTCTTGGGCTGGCACAGTAGCCCCTCTCATGGCACTGCACCTGTAGTATAAATGGGCTGTTCTATGGCGACAGTGGGTGTACTATACACAAAGGCTCACTAGAGGGCACATTCCAGATGTGACGGAGCACGTGGCCCAGAAGGGGATGGCCACGTGATGTGGACCCAGAGTGTGACTGACGGGGGGGAGGGGGGGGGTGCGGAGTCCCCCCGTGGTTCTTCAACCGCGGGAAAGAAGTCGTCCACTTCCATCTTCGCTTTTCAGCCTCCGTACGCGTCGCCTGTTCCCGTCCCACCGTAGCGAAGGGGTTCCGCTCAAGCGGCGAGGTGGTTAGGGCCGGCGGCCACCACCTTACGTGGTTAGCCCGCGATGAGCGCAGTCGCTCGCAATGTGCTTGGTTCACCTGGGAACGTTGAATAGTGTTGGTTGTGTGAGAGATTAAAACTTGCTGCCTCCCAGTCTTGGCGTGCCCCTGATGAGAACCGACTGCATGTGCGTTGACTGTGTGGTAATGGGATGTTGTGGGCGGATGTTTTTTTTATCTGTACAAGGGAGATCGTTTAAACGCAGTTTTTGTGTACATCTGGTGCATAATGGTTGAATGATAGCTTTCAAACACTACGCAAAATTCATGCAGAACTGCTGTGATCCGCTGTGACACGGGGGAACACCAATATAGCTGCTGATCTTATTATCTGTGGGGCCATCTGCGAATCTTTACCTTCCAGCTAAAAGGAGCAAAATGACAGATAACCTCGCCAATAAGAGGATGAGAATACCGCGTGACTCTTCTTATCCGCGAGATATCTAAACGTGATTTCCCAATTTTATTTTATACTTTTCAGAAAAACAATATATACAACACCGTGTCACCTGATGTTCAGATTTGGCCACAGCTGTTCACAAACCGCATAGCCAACATCTTAAATGCCGTTTGTTTTGTCAATATAAATGGGAGCCGGCTGTTATGGTATAATAACGACGTGCGCCCGCTAAACTCAGGCCCTCCGATCCACCGATGGAGTGAGGAAATTTAACGAAAAAATGAAAACAGAAACTCACGCAAATTAAGAAGTTAGCTAAAGAAACAAAAAATGTGGGTTTCTTTAAATCAAAATCTCCCCCGATTCGTGCATTTATACGTTGGCCCAATGCGAAAGCCACGATGCCACAAAAAACGCAGTTTTAAGGAGATTGGACTCTCAATCAGAGGTCGCAACCGGGTACCCGATACCCGTACCCTACCCGATACCCGGCTACCCGTACCCGGCCGGGTACGGGTACCGTTTGCGACCCTGGTGCGGCCGGGTACGGGTACGGGTAGACCGTGAGTCACTGGTGAGTCACCGTTTGTCACCCATTTACCAACGTCTTGTCTCTTCTCACAATTCAAGTTCCTAGAATCAACCCACCCGCGCCTGCAACATGGCTTCATCCCAGAGGTCGCAATCGGGTACCCGTACCCTACCCGATACCCGGCCGGGTACAGGTATCGGGTAAGGAATCAAACCCCGTTTGCACCTCTGCTCTCAGTACTCTGGGTTACAAACCCAGCAGAGCTGAATCCCCCGAGCTACGAGGCTGAGTGCCGACGTGCCCCCCACACCGTCGCGTGCGCCGCGTGAGCGGGGTGCCCGCGCTCCGCCGCTCGGATCTTCACAAAGAGCACAGAGGGTCGCCGCGAGGGTGACACTCGCTCGCGCTAAACCCAAGCCGTGCGGCCGGTGCCGCCGCCGGCGCTCTGCCCGGGGGGCTCCTGGCGGGGCCTCGGCGTCGCCCTCAGCTCCGTCTGAAGTTCCCGCAACTCGTCACGGAGCTGACGCAATTCCCGCGGCGACATCATCGCTGCTGCTGCTGCGGGAACTGCCGTGGGGGGGTCCGGCTCGCCGGGATCTGCCACCCTAGAAACGAGTCGAATTTCAAGAGGAGTGTTTTCATTAACAACAATAAATATACACTCTCCATGATAGAGGATTTGTATGGGTTATATTGCGTGTATAATGTATAGTGCAATGTATAGTGTAGTGTGTAGTGTAGTAGTGTATAGTGTATAGTGTGTCGTGTATAGTGTGTCGTGTATAGTGTAGTGTATAGTGTGTAGTGTATAGTGTGTCGTGTATAGTGTGTCGTGTATAGTGTAGTGTAGTGTATAGTGTGTAGTGTATAGTGTAGTGTATAGTGTAGTAGTGTATAGTGTATAATGTAGTAGTGTGTAGTGTATAGTGTAGTGTATAGTGTAGTAGTGTATAGTGTAGTAGTGTATAGTGTGTAGTGTATAGTGGATAATGCGATCTAAACCCAAAAACCTTGATTATGAATAATAATAGTCAACGTCGTAATGTATGAGGAGCGGTGTGAGCGCTCCTCGCGAAACTCACCCGGTGCCGTTCCCGTCAGAGGAGGCCCCCGCCAGCGAGTGGTAACCCGGGGGCGCCAGCGACACTCGGCGACTGCCCTGGGCCACTGCCACCTTCACCCTGGAAGCCTCCAGCGTCGCGTGGGCCGCCTGTTTGCCCTCCGCGGATCTACATCACACACACACACGTCTATATACATTGCTGTGAACACATCACACTACACTATACACTACACTATAAACTATACACAACATCTATATACATAGTTGGCAACACATACACTACATGATACACTATAAACTATACACAACATCTATATACATAGCGGTTGGGAAGCTGACGGAACCACTCTCATAGCTGTAAACAAATACACTACACTATACACTACACACTACACTATCACATACCTGGCAACACTATACACGACACTGCTACACACCTGGCAACACTATACAACAACAACCGCCATTTGCCACTAAGTGGCGGTGACATCACCACGATGCTTGTGCCAGGCCATGTGCACCTTGAGATCACGAGAAGTGTCGAACGCCCGCTGGCAGGAGGTCACGGGGCAGACCCAGCAGGTGCCACGGGTCGACTGACTGAGATGACCGAGATGACTGGCTGATGCACCACCTGTGCCCCCTACTGTGCCAACTTGCTGTGCTTTAGCCACCCGGCGCTCCGCTCGTTGTTATGAGCGTCGCTCCTCCGCCCTCCGTTGTTGTTGGAGGGCGACTACCTCCAACTGCCCAGTAGCGTCCTTCACGAGCCTCCTCCACTGAGGCCGATCTTGACACCGCTGGTACCAGTCATCGGCAAGTCCTCCTGTACCACATCACTCCATCTCTTCTCTAGCCCATGTCGCGCCCATTTAGTCCCCTCGATCCGGCTGAACAAAAGCTGTTTCGGCATGCAGTGGCTGGGCATGCGGGCTATATGACCAAGCCAATGCAGCCTTACCTGCCGGAGGAGCTCACCGATGGGACTTTGCCCAAGGATTTGTGAGCTCCTCACACAATCCAGCCTGGTTAAACCCAGGATGGATCCTAGGCAGGCCAGCCTAAATGTTTCTAACTGGCAAAGATGCTCCATTAGGGGGGTCCACGTTTCGCAAGCGTAGAGAAGGGAGGGAATGACCGTGGCCGAGAAGAACTGAAGCTTCGTGCGGAGCGACAGACCAGGTAGCTTCCACACAGCGTTAAGGAAACCGATGAAAAGATATTGCCGCTCGACTGATTCGGAGTGAGACCTCTGCTGATAAACTGGAGCCGGTCATAAGCACACTGCCCAGGTATGGGAAGCTCTCCACTCTCCACAACTGCCCCATCACCGATTGGGAGTTGTGGGGGTGGAGTGTCTGATGGTACAAAATACCCAGGCAGGTGCTTAGTTTTGGTGGGGCTGATGGTAAGGACCCACCTCTTAGATGCACACTCCAGTCTCAGCAGCAGCATCTCTAACTCCTCCTCTGAATGAGCAGCTATTACCAAATGATCAGCATATATAACGTGGTTGACCAATAGGGAGCCATCCCTTGATCGCACCCGGGCATCGATCAGCCTCCCATTATATCTGTACGAGATGGAAATTCCCCGGTACAGCTGCTGAAGACTTCACGAACCACGTGGTCAAAATTGATGTTAAATAATGTGGGGGCCAGAGGACATCCATGTGGCAACCCAAGGTGTACAGGGAATGGCTCTGACTCCCGGCCATGTAGTTTTACCTGGGCCCGCTCACCATTATGAAGGTCCTTAATGATCGTGAGCAGAGGGTCAGGGACTCCGAAAGCATGAAGAAGAACCCAGAGCACAGGCCTACTGATGGTATCATAGGCCTTGACCAGTTCAATAAAGCAGAGATGTAGGTCTTGTTAGAATTCCCTACTCCTCTGCTGTAGCAGACGGACAGAAAATATGGCATCTGTGCAGGACCGCCCTTTCCTGAAACCGCATTGGGGCTCCGCAAGCCTCTCCTCAGCGTGCCTGGCAAGGCGATGTTGAATAATCCTTGCCAGGACCTTTCCAGGCACACTGAGGAGTGAGATGCCCCTGTAGTTGTTACAATCTGTGCGGTCCCCCTTCTTAAAGAGGGGGACCACCAGGGCATCCTTCCAATCCTGCGGAACCCGTCCAGTGGTCCAGACTGTTGTTGTTATGATGTCATATAAGGCAGTCTGTGCACAAACGCCACCCTCCCTCAGCATTTCGGTTGGGAGATCATCTCTGCCCGGTGCCTTTTCTGGTCTCAGACTCCGGATCACCTTCAGTACTTCCTCAACAGCTGGCACCTCAGCCAGCCACTCACAGGGGGTGACTTCTTCCAATATTTGAGGCACCGCAGCCTCAGCAGGGTCATCCCCACTTTGTGTCATGATGTTTTCCTGGCTGAGGGATTTTCCCTCCCCCAGGACCTTACATAAATGCTCAGCAAATCTGCAAACCTGTTCCTGGGGGTCGGAGATTGGATCACCGTTTTTTCCCCTTATGGTAATCAGTGTGGCGCTGCAGGTTAATTTTTTGTTGGAGTTAAATAGTGATTTGTGATCGCGGGCCACTGAGGCAGACTCCATCTCCTCAGCAACCCGTGACCACCACCCATCCTTGCAGCGCCTTATGGCTCTCCGAACCTCCGAGCGAAGGCTGTGGTAAGCCTCCTCATTCTCTGATGTGGGATGCTGTAGCCGATGAGAGTGGGCCTGTCGATTTTTCTCAACTATCCTGAACACCTCCTCTGTCAGCCAGGGTCTCTGGGGAGGTCTTGACCGCGTACCCAAAGCAGCCATTGCAGCTGCATGAGTCACAGTCCTAAATTTTGCCCATTTACCCTCGACATCAGAAAGAGTGGGGGACGATGCCAACTTTCATCAGCTAACTGAGACCAGGCCACTTTAGGTTGGAATGGGGTCCTGGGTGTGCACCCAACCACCAGAGTGGAAGAATGGCAGGCGCATCTTACAGATGACTAGTCGATAGTCAGAGGACAGATCAGCTCCACGGTAGGTCCTGGTGTCAAGGACATGGGCTCGCATCCGCTGGTCCGTCACTATGTAGTCCAGCGGATGTTCTTGCTTGGGCCCGGC